AAACATTATTGATTCCATTTTAAGACAGAGATTGCCTCATGCCACCAGATAAATGCAAATCATGGCCTCATAAAATCTTCCAATTATTTAAATGTGTGTTCTATGGGATCCTGCTGCAGTTTAAATTAAGACTGAGCCAAGGTGAATATTGAACACCAGTGCAATCTTCAGTGCAGGCTGTCAGCCTCCTTTTATGTAAACTTTAGTTAAAGGGGGAGAAGATGCAAATCTGGAGAGTGTTTCAACCTCATCTGCACAGGCACATACATATAGCACTTCTGCCTTACTGTTCATGTTTCTAAATTACCAGGTATTGATTTGTGTGCAATTGAATGTAACCATGTATGTGTATTGATCAGATACTCGTTCATTGAAGGTAGTCAATAACTGACTTGGCTAAACAGTTCATCTTTTAGGGCTGAAGTTAAATTTCTGTAATCGCTGTTGAATATTAGCAGATAGGAACTTGGATGTGAGATTATTTAAGCAATCAGCAGGTCTGTGAGAGAGTTTGTTGTGCTTGTTTCTCTGTTGTGGCTTTCCTGTAAGGTACTCTGGCCAATAAGAATAGCTGTAATTTTCTGAAGAGTACCAAGTGATCAGTATCAGTAAGGAGAGCTGATGCTACATAGGAAGCTTCTTAAATATAGGCATTGCTTTTATCACAAGTAGCTCTTAGCAGCTGAGTAGAAACAACATCTATACAAACAACAAAAGACAGGTGCTAGCGGAGCCTGTAGTCTGTGTAGCTTGCCTTAACTGCAGTCTCTTACTGTGAAAACTTTCTCACAGCTGTGCCAGCAAACATCGCAGACCTGAGAAACATAGAAGTGCTCAACTTTTTCAACAACCAGATTGAGGAGCTGCCTACACAGATTAGCAGCCTTCAGAAGCTCAAACACCTGAATCTTGGGTGCGTATCTTAATGCTAAAACTTGCTGCAATGGAGATGCTGTCAAAGGCTATTGCAACTGAGCTTAAATCTTCTTATTTTTCTTATTTAAGCTTCATTTTGAAAATGTGACTATCTTGTTCAGAGTGCTTAGCTAGTTTTCTGGGTAATTGGATACCGAAGAGTGATCAAGCATTTACTCTGATATACCAATAACTATTTAAGGGCAAAAAGCAACTTTATTCATCTAATGCTGAAGTCAGACCTAACAAGTAATGTATTTTACTTTCTTAACAACTGTCACTTAATTTTGTGGCAAGAGACAGTCTTGATTTTTTTGCTCTGTTTTGTAAAAAGCTAAAATAAATGTTAAATTTTGTATGTTAATTTGGGACTTTAATTCTAAAGACCCAAATTTGTGATTAAAGAAACTAAAATTTTAATTAAATCTGTAAAGGCAACTGTGAGTCCTTCTTGAATACAATAAGCATTTCATTCAATGAGATGGTACTGGCTGAATTAGAATCAGAGAAACTCCTGTTAAGTGTTCAGGTACCATATTCAAGTAGAGTTGGTTACACTCCATTATAACTACAGTAGCAGAAGAGTTTCTTGAATTATTAAAATGAACCTGAAATGAACTTTCTTGAAACTAATTGGATGCATTAAAGTATAGCTACTTAGGAAAGCCTTGTGAGGAGAAGCTTTAATTTTGTAGGCTTCTCATGGAAAGAATGTTTGTATTATAAATTCAGCTTTTGGAAACCTTAATTTAACTGAGTTTGTTTTACTATTTGAAATATCTAATAACTTTGACTAGGCTCTAAGTATCCAGCTTTAGGTACTTTTGTAAAGTGCAGATAATTGAACTGCTTACTGAACTGTTGGCATGCAAAGAAACGTTTTCAAGATGATGTGTCTTGTCCAGTCTTTATTTGATCACTTTAGATCTCTAGCGGGCCCTAATAGCTGTCTGAACTTGGAAATGATCATGAATTAATATTTGCTCTGAGAATCAGAACTTTGTGCAACTTGGGATTTGGCCCTTTTAGAATGGCATATAGAAGTGCTGCCTTATATGGAGTGGGGAAGTATTTGAGTTCTTTCCATGAATTAGAGAAGTGACAAGTGTTAGTGTAATTCAAATATGGGTCTTCAACACTTTTCCTATTTTTTCTCCATTAATGTCTTTTGCAAATCCTTTTGGGGTTAAGAACAGGAGACATTTGGAAACGATTTGTTACTTAACAACTGGTGGTTTTGGTCTGGAACTGCAACATCTGCAATTGTAGAATCATAAAGTATTCTGAGTTGGAAGGAGCATGCAAGAATTTTGTAATTTAAAAGGTGTTTCTCGAGGTCTGCCATCTTCTAAGCTCAGGATTTACAGCCTGGAGTATAGTTCTGCAAAATGGGTTCAGAAGTGCTTGGAGTCAATTTAAGGACAAACTGTCCTGCTCTACTAGGGTGGGTGGGTGGGAACCCTCTTGTCACCTGCTGAGCACATTATGTTGTGCGTGAGTACACGCAGGGCATCAAAACTGCCTGCTGCAAAAGAGGGATAGCTTGAGTAAGAATATTTCTGGGAGGATTTCAATGGAAAAGGGTCAAGAGATATGGTAGGAAGTTGAAGGTGTACTGCTACACTAAAAATGAAATGGGGAATTTTGTCTGCATGTATGCAATTTGTCCTTGGCAGGGCCTTTCAGCTAACTCTCTTTCCATGCCAAAGAATAGGTCTTATTCTATTACAAACAGGAGGCTCTTTCTCTTCCTGTTCTTTGCCTACAAAGTGAAGACCATCGGGACCGTCTTCTCCTTTTACTACTGAAAAAGCAGCTGCTTTTAGTCTTATTTAATAAATACTGTTTCTAAAGCAGAGGCAAATCTCCAGGAGTAACAGTGGAGATTGTTCCTATGTATCTTAGCAGCTACCACTTCAGCAGTAACACGAAGTGCACGTGCTTTGTAGGACAGGGTTGTCTGTTTTCCCATTTAGCGCCTGCTGTACGTTAAGACGTCCTACTAGCATGAATATGCAATTAGTATGGGCAAGGTTCTTCATAGGAGATCCATGACAGGAAGATTAGGATTGTAATTCTGCAGAATTCTGCTGGGACTAAGTCCTTTACAAATGTTTGACTCTTGCTACCTGATCCTTTTTAATTACATTAATGAGTCTGTTAAATTGGGGTCTAGCTGATTTGCTAATGGTAAAGTCAGCTGTATCTCTTCTACACATCACATATCAAATGGAGTCTGTCTTGTTGTGTACTATAAATGGTTTATTAAATCTGGGTTTGTTAACAGCATGTGGAATTAACTTCGGCATTTCTTAATATTCATCTCATGACTTTAAGTACTGCTGTGCTCAGTGAGAATGTACTTTTCTACATGTGCAGACAAATGAGTGAGATGATTCCAATCAACTAAACAGTGCCAAAAGCAAAGGCACAGATATATCCTCTATTCATATTTGGGCCATCTGCACTAGGGACTTGAAAGGCATGGACTCAGCGCTGCAGACCTGTTTACTGAAACTAAAAAAAATAGCATAAGGTACATATGTATTCAGTGGTTAAAAGCCTTTATAGAAGCCCAAAGAAATGATTTTCTATTTTTCTTTTATTTTTTAAACAGCTTAATGAAGTGGTCCTCAAGTTACTGTATTTATGACAGTGACTATACAAACTATTCCAGAGCATGCTTGGTCTGCTGCTGTTCCTGCTGTTGCTACCATCCTGAACATACACACCCAGCCCTGTAGCTATCTTCTGAAGCCTGGGTGTCTTCATTTTCAGCTCCATGTGCCCAAGTGTAGAACAAGTAGACTGATCAACCGTCCTTATGATGTCTTTCATAGTATTTGTCACAAAATATAATGAAGTGTTTAACAAGCACTGCATGGAGGAGGGATGGCCTTGGAGATTAGTGTCAAGATCTTCACTAGGTGCTAAAATTTGTCAATACTTTGACCTGAGTTTTCTTAGTTCTTAGTGCTATATTACACTTAATACGGTCATATAACATTTCCTATTGACTTCAGTTGTGGCCATTGCTATTTATCACTTCCTGTCAGAAGGAGAGTTAAATTAAGTATATGTTTAAAGATAATGTGGAAAGTCATGTTTGTTTCCCCAAATCACATAAAAACAAATTCCTCTTCCTTAAAATAACTACATGTAATCTTACACGTTGTTCCTGAAGATGTCTATCTTTTCTGTTGTTTTCAAACCCTGGTGACAAATGAAGCAAGGTCCAACTTTGTATCTGGTATGCATTCCCTGAAGACAATATAAATAACAAACTGGTAGTTCAGTGGTAATCAGCCAGAGCTCTACTTTATCTACAAACAGTGAGGGTGTTTGAACATCATCTCCAGCTGCTTGCCATCCTTCCTCATTGCAGCCACTCTAGATGTTATCTCAGTCCTTCAATTCCAGCCATTTGAGTTTAGATGGAAGTTATTGTCTTCTGTAGACTGTCTGCTTCAGGTTATCAGACAAATCTTTTCATTCTGTCAGTTTTCCCCTTATAGTTATGGCTGTTGCCAATGGGAATTGCTATCCTGAACCCTGTAAGACTGGTTGAATGAGCTGTGTTTAGACTTGAGCCCTTATCAATCAGTGGGGCAACTTCTTTTTGTGTTGTGTTCCCTGTGCACTTATAGTGAAAGCATAAATGTGATGGTCTTAAGAACAGCAGCTTCCAATGGGTGTAAACGCCATGGAGCTGAAGTATTCCTCCTTGTGTCTGGTAATGTGGTGAAGAAATACCTGATGTGGGGGGTAGCAGATGGTCAAGATGCTGTGAGATACAAAATGGTGATTCATGGTTTAGTTAGCTAGAAGATGGCTCACCTGCCAAGGACCAATTGCAGGCTGCCTATATAATGAAGACATAAATTTTGGAAATACTTTTTGAAGTGAGAGCTTAGAGAAGTCTGCATCACAGAAGAGTTGCTTGGTACCTTATAGCAAACAAAACAAAAGAAAAATGAAGTCTGGTGTAAGTTAGATTTTTTAGAAATGAAAATGTTGTTCATTATGCCTGCCAGATGAAAAGCATACTGATGTCATGTTTTGTTTTTTTTTCCTCTCACATACAGCATGAACAGATTAAATACCTTGCCAAGGGGGTTTGGATCTTTACCAGCACTGGAGGTTCTTGACTTGACTTACAACAACTTAAATGAAAATTCTCTACCTGGAAACTTCTTCTATCTGAGTAAGGAACTTTTTAAAAAAAAAACTCTACAAATCTTTGTGATGTGGTGCTTTGCTTTCTGCAGTTGAAATTTATTTGATGGAGACCAAACTCTAACAGACTTTTTCTGTTATTTATGTTTTTCGTCTTTGAATACCTCCTGAATATTTCTATACAATTCAACGATATTTATCACTGATATACAGTTACCTGACATCTTTGGACATGAGAAGACTTACTTATTTTTCTTCTGAGTAATATTTCCCTTGTCCCCATGCTCAGTTCAAACACTGTGTAGGCTCACGAGCTCCAGAGGAGAATAACTGTTTTGAAAAGCAACTGTTTTATGTTGACTCTGGAAACAATTGTGTTTGTGATGGTTAATTATGGAAACAGTTTTAACAGCTTGGGGGTGTTAAAGTGATCAATATGTTAAAAACATTCAAAAAACATGCTAAGGTTACAAGGTTTGGCAGACGGATAGCAGAACTGAGCTGATCTTTGCTCATGTTAGAAAATATGCTCACATAGTTAAAGATATTGTAATGCATATGTGCAGAAGAGTTGCATTATGGTTGCCTAAGCAACTTGAATTCTGGCACTTTCTGGCTTTCAGTGTTTCTGCTGCTACCTTACCAGTCATTTCTGGGTACTAAGCTGAAGTAGCTTCAAGATCAGTGCATTAACTAGCACGAGTGATAAATGAGGGGAGAGGAAGGGATGCTGCAGTCTGAAACAGATTTTGTGGTTGTAACCTGACAGAAGGAAATTCATAAGTAAGCTTCATTAAAAATAGTCACATATAATGAAATAAAAGGAGCAGGAATAAAGTGCATGAGAGAATCACAATCTCCTCTCTCTTCATGAGTTTCCATTTTAATTTCTTCTTTTTTTCAAAAACCTGTCAAGTATGCTTATTCAGTATATAAAGTTGTGCTAGGTCATCTCACTTTTTCTCCTGTGTATTTCATGGGCACTGTGTAAATTACAAATTATGTGGTTTGAGCCTGCTGTATTACTCCTTTCTAAGAACTCTTTCCCAGCCTTATTCTGTGCTTTCTATAGAGCTGAATATAGATGTGTATTTGTCCATAAACTCAGCTGATTTTTTTATGTTTGTTTAGGATGCAGATTGGTGTGATAAATAAGAATCAGGGGATAATAAAGAGTAATGACTCCATTCTGACAGCTGAGCATTGAGACTATATGCCAGAACCTGCCACAGTCTACTATTGTAGAAATTTTTAATTGTGTCAGTCCTTTTGAATATAGATGTTTTCCTGAACTCACCAACAATGTAATAAGCCAGTAAATCTAAGTTTGACCTGCTTGTTATTATTGTGAGCCCTGGGTATGTCAAAGGCTTTTCACCAAGTCAGGGTTATTAATCAAACCTGACTCCCTTTTATTGATTAGACCTCAAATGGTTGGGTTATATGCCACCCTGTTTATATATTGCTATTTAATTTGCAGCCACCCTGCGTGCACTCTATCTAAGTGACAACGATTTTGAAATCCTGCCGCCAGATATTGGGAAGCTCACAAAGTTGCAGATAGTAAGTAATTTATCTAAATTCCTGGAAAATCAATTCACTTTTGCAATGCTTGTAGGAATAGAATCTAGTCAATTTGAGAAGTAGTAGAGTGTGTTTTCAGGAATAGACCACTAAACCTGGAACTGTTTCTTGTTCATCAGCAGACACTTGTAAATAAATTGAAAGAATCGAGTGTTCAGAAGTGGGGGGAGGCAAGATAGAGTATAGTTCAGTTTTAGGCTGCTTTAGGCTAACCAAAAATTGTTCTGACTTCTTTATGTTCACTCTTAGCTGAGTCTTAGAGATAATGACCTGATATCACTGCCTAAAGAAATTGGGGAGCTCACTCAGCTTAAGGAACTTCATATCCAGGGAAATCGTCTTACTGTGTTGCCCCCAGAACTAGGTAAGATCGTGAATGATCATTTATTTATTTGAATAATAGCAATAATAATGCACTGTATTTCCTCTGAAACTAAGCCTGTTGTTAAACCCTTAAGAAATTATTGTGCTGAAGTTATAATTGCTGGTAAATACTTGCTTTCCCCCAAAGAAATACTCTTTCACAACTACTGGCTGTTTAGGAAGGGCCAGAAGATGTTGCTTGTTTCATTTTATTAGATTTTTACCTGTTATATATACCTTGTATATTAGTAGACCTGACTGCCAGGTCTGCTTTTTATAATATATCATAAATACAGGATCTGTTAAACTGTTATTTTCTCTGTTTGGATTTTGAAAACACTATTTGGATCAGCCAAAATTATGTTAAACAGTATAAGTGACTTATTTGTGACTGTTCTTGTAAAGTTTGATCGACATGAAGAAAATATTAGCTAAGTCAGAGGGATTTTTCAATTCTCTCTTTCAGTGGCCTGCAGTAGTGAGTTAAGAGCTTTTGAAGCAGTGGAGCTGGTTGATGACGTACTTTGAATTTGCATTATTGGCCATTTGTAGTTCTGATTATTTCATATACAGTAAATCCTTTCAACCTAGAAGGTAGAATTTCTCTTAGAAACTGAAGTATTGATTTTGATGAATTTGCATTGCAGTATTCCCTTTGATGTGAGTGGCAAAGGCAAAATGGACGTTTATTTTGACTAATTTACCTACCATAATTTTGTTGATAGATAGATCATGTAGCAGACATGATCTATCCTTTTTTTTTCCATGGTGTATGAAAGCTGCTTTTTCCTATAGATTCAGATTTTATTCCATGACACTGAGGTATAGCTTTTACTTTTGGTTAGTCATATTTATAATATCTCTTTGAACTGCAGTAATGTTTTAGACATGTGCAATATCTGTACATTTCTGTAGATTTCGAAGTTACAGCCTTGCTTTTTTTCTGGAAAGTGGTAACTAAATGCTGAACTGAGTCTAGCCGCCTTCTGTGGCTAATTGAATGCTCTAAACATGCATAACAGCAAATTCATTTTAAATGGTTTTACTGTTGTTGTCCAAACTAAATGGAAACACTTAAAACAAAATTTCTGATGTTTGTTTTGCACTGATCTGCACAATTTCAAATAGATAAGGGAAGCATTTTTCCTTTCTAGTTCGCATTCTATTGCTACTAATTTGGTGGGAAAAGGACTTGTAGTTTTGACCTACCTGATCCAGGCAAGGTGCACTGACACAGCTTGTCATCTCTGTTCTTTATTATTTAACTGCTCTTCTATAGACTATACTTCTCAGCCATGCATGAATTTTTCAGTGTTTCATCTTATGGTCTTGCCCAGGATCCTCATTCATGATTAGTTGGCCTAATTTGTATTGCAGTTTATACCACATCTATTACTAGAATTATATCAAATACCTAAAATAACTCAAATTTTGTGATATATTTCCAAAGAACGTTGCTCTGAAGTCGAGAAAAAATGTTTTGCTTGTTTATTAGACATTTAAGCAAGCATTTAGGGAATGGGGTTTGATAAATAGGACCCCAAGTGGGCTTCGGAGCTGGTCTTTGAGCTAAGATAGGAGCTAATGAGTCTGTTGAATGGCTGGAAGTAACCTCAGGTCTGCAGCCCTGTTTGCCCTTTTGCAAATAAGGACAATTTAGAGAAGCATTCCTTTGCAGATGGTTTTAAAATATACTGATGAAGGTGGTGTTAAACCCTATGAATGGACTACTAATTCCGTAGGTGCCATTTGTGGGGAAAAAAAATCTACTTCCTGACTTCTCCCTCCTACATTTCTAAAATTGAATTATAATGTAAGAATTATCCAAATACTTTGTGCAGTGCATGTTGGATAAATAGCTTTTCAATGAGCAGGTCCTATTTCATTAATTGGAGGCATTGCTGGTCCGTTTAAAGTAAACAGTCTTTCCTCTCTCATTATTGCTTTCTTAATTAAAGGTTCTGAAGGCTTGTGACTGCATTATGAGCATTAGTAGCTCGGGCAGTGGTGGACAACAGTGACTCATTAGCTGTTCATTTACCAGGGAGATGGGCACAATATAAACAGCCAAATAAACCAGCTTTTCTGGATGAGAGGGGGAGGGAATACAGTGATCTGAATCTAAAAGGTAATGGAAGTGAGTTCAGAGGAAGACATGGATGGTAAGGCAGGTATGAGAAAAGGCCATACACAGGCAGTGGGGTCAATGTTTTGGAACTGAGATAGCAGTAGATAAACCTGTGTTGTCTGTGCTAATTCCACCTGAGGTGACTGAGTGTGTCATGAATCAGTCAGGGCTGGGGCCTGTCTGAATTGCCCTGGTCTGCACATAGCAGTGCTGCTCCTGTTAGGCTGAGGAAAGGATTCTTGTCTGGGAGGAAGTGAGGAGACTGAATGGTGTATTGGTGCTCGTGGTGAGGATGCTTGTCTGTAAATACAGTATGTGTGGATGATGAATGCAGGAAATGGCCGGGAGTAGGTGGGTGGAATTCACAGCTTGTTTTTATCATTTGTCTCTCAAAACCCCGTTCATGAGGAATGGTGGTGGGCAGTCATATATAAACTTTAAAGAGGCGCTGGCATTTTTTTCCCTAGCATTTAAAAGGTTATGTGCTGCATTGTGAGACAAATAAATCATGATTCAGTGCAACAACAGAGTTGCAGTCAGTTATATAAATTGCCAAGGAAGCACTAAATCTGTCACTTTGTGTATTCTGACCATTTAACAATTGGAATAGTGTTTGGGAAGAAAGCTGAATAGAAAGAAGAACCATATACAGTGGCAGACACAATTAGTAAGATCAATGAGAGCATTTTAAGTTCGTTGTATGGACCTGTATGTGACTCTTAAGAGTTTCTTAGCAGATTCAGCGGTGTAAGATTAAGTATGTGATGCACAAGTATTCACAAAGTTGTAGCCAAATGTAAATAGCTGCCCTGTGCGTGCAACTTACCCCTAGGTTTGCGTTTTTGATGTGAAAATAAATGGTGTGATTTTTAAAACACATATTTCAATGTCGGCTGTGTTGATCAGCATGCTGCCAACACGTGTGCAGGGTTCTCCCTTATTTTGGCATAGGGAAAGTATAGTGTTTTCTAAGGATCCATGTTTAATTATCAACTTAATGTTGGAATCAATGGCTTTTAAGTCTTCAATACAATTCTAGTTGATGAAATGATTTCCTGGAGTGGTGGGTTGCAGTGGTAGGAACAGTTAAGTGAAAGGCGTGTTTGAGAAGTAGGAAACTCATCCCTTTAGAACAGCCATGTAAACTTGAGGGACAGTAGTCATGTTTCCTTTTATGGAGAATAAAACATTTCTATAAATTAAATCTGTGTCTCAGAGTGGTTAAGTAATTCTTTCATCATTTCTTTAATTTCAAAGGGCTGAATTATCTTCTTTGAATAAAGGACTGGCTTTAAATAGAAAGTTCAAGGAATCCTTAGGCTTTTGAAATGGCTGGAATTTATGAATTACACAAAGTAGTTGCTGCAGTTATTTGCTCAAGTTAATATTAATTGAAATAGCAGTTTACTTAGGTAATTATAACAGGCATGTGCAAGCATAAGAATCACTTATTTCACAAAAGATATTTCTTCTCTAAATATTCTTCAGGTAAGCACCAAACTTTTCTTCTTCCAGTATCGATGACCACTGCACTCTGTGTCGCAGCGCTGTTCACATCCGCACGTGGCAGGTTGTGACACTTGTTGGAAGCTGAGTGTCTCGGGCTCTGGGCACTGGCTTTGAGTGCTGGAACACCAAGTGCATACCTTGCCAATTAAAAAGAAACCAGGCCTGCTTCTACTTTGAAGACTAAGGCTAGACTGGTGGGAGATAATAAGAAGCTTTAATAAACTTAGCAGTGGATAAACAAAAGAACTTGTTTTCCAGGATGGTCAATAGGACAGTTATTACTAGTTAAGGAATAATGTACTTAACAAGATAGGTTGTAGTCAAATTATTTATAGAAGGAAAGTGTTTTACAGGATTTGTGAATGCTGTTGTTGTATTTCTCATTTCAGGTTTAGTTTAAGCTTAAAAATAAACATAAATAGATTTTCATGTAGTTGACTGGTTCCATGTCTCACTTGGTGAGTATTGAGGCATATGGGAAGAACTCTGCAAAGCTCCATTATACCCAGGAAGATGTTTGAAAGATATTTTCTGTAGCCCATCTGTTAGGCTTACACCACAGGTATTCATTTCCTCACACTGCTGTAGTTCTTGCTCAACTTCAAAAATCCATTTTCATCTTACATTAGTTTTAAAAATAGGCAAATCCTACTGTTGCTTCTCAGATGACTACAGTGTGTGTGTAGCCTTTTCTCATGTTGATTGCATTGTGATTCCAAGTATCATCAGCATAAAATAATGCTTCTATCAGCAAATAATTGTATCTCTTCTGTGGGAACTGTAGTAAGAGTAGTGTAGCTAGAGCCAGTCACAGCTATGTTTTTTGTTGTTGTTAAACATTCTTTTTATGCTTTTCATAGCACCTAAAGTTGGGTTCATTCTGCTGAATACTGTGCAAGCTATGTTTAAGTGGAAATTTTGAAGGTACAATGAATCCTTTTTGAACTTATATTAACTAGATTTTGATCTGATAGGGACCCTTCAGTGAGAGAATGCTTTGTTGAATTCTTGTGTAATTGAGAATCCCCTGGGAGTCTGAAGTTGGTAAAATATGCAACATATTTCAAAATAAATTGGGATGCTGATCCTCTAAGCCTGTAATTCTTCCTGTTCTATTGAAGCAGCTCTGATGCTTAACTGCTTCGATATCATGTTAATTCTCTTTATTCCAAACCCCATCTGTGGTGCATTGTGTCTCTTGGATTCTCAGCTGACACACTGGGAGCCTGCTGCAGTGACTGCTGGTGTGCTCCTGGAGATCCTCATCAGCACTGTGTGTTTGTTACAAGGAGCAATGAAGTAAATGGTATTTCCAGCAGTTTCACCTTTCAAAGAAGAAAACTAAAACCTCCAAATTCTTATAG